CAAAGCAACGAAAAGGACGGACCAACCACCCTATGCATCAGTCCGTCGAGCATCAACATCTCTGAGCATGTATACGTAGCTACGTCTATCTCGCGAATCATGCTTAAAGACGACCTCTCCTCCCAAGTAAGTGCAGACCATTGAGGTTGGGGCACTCTCGTTCTCGGCTTTTGTAGCGCGGTCGGGAAGGGGAACTCCCCGGTACAGTGCACAAAGAAGAAAGTTTCCTTCTAGTGCTTCACCGAAGAGGGGGCCCCAATCAGCGCTCTGATGTTCTTCCTAGTCAAGAAGTAGTAGTAGCCCTGCTGGTGATGTTTGAGCTGAAGAAGGAAGCTCACCATACCCAGGGTTAGCTCGATATCACGAATGGCACAATAGGACAGAAGGCCGACCAAAAACCTAAATGAGTTCAGCATCAGTTGCACCGGCAATACTCGGTACCATGCGAGTACCTCGGCAACCCATTCGTTTAGAGGAAACCTCAACCTGGATTCCAAATTGTTCTCCTACACACAAATCTCGTCGGGCCGAGCATCGGTTGCCATCTCACTGTGCTGCGGGCACCTTATTCGGAATTCCTCGGGGATGTTGTACATAGCTCGGATCCGAGCCATGTCCTCGAGGGTCAAGACACAAGGTGTGGTCCCAAACCGGTGACTAGCCCACAAGAGAAGCCCGGCTTCCACCATAGAGGGACCAACCTTGGCCTCCTCAAAAGCCCCAAGCTCAGATTCATAATCGGACTCACTAGAACTAGAAGAGCTAGAAGTAAAAGAAGAATGGGAAGATGAGGAAGACATCTTACCGAGCTTGAAGCCGAGGAATAAAAACAAAATGCCAAGCAACGCTGACAACACCCCACCGAGCTGTCCAAGCAACTCCTCTTGCAAATGGCAAAGGGGAAATGCCCGTCCACCCCTTCTTATAACCCATAGGAACGTGAATCGATGCCAGATCTACGGTGAGGATCAAGCATTGCCTTGACAAAGCTCAGGAAGACTAACCGACACAATTGTTACTACATGCACAAGGCCTTGGGAACCGAAGCGATGACCTTGACTAGCAACGGCTAGGGCATTAATTGCCCCGGTCCACCCTATAGCAGTGGTCCAACCAACAACGCAGATGCCCGAGATTTGCCCAGACCCACTGGGTCAACCAGTTTCTCTAGTTTCTTCGGGACGCCCAACAACAAATACTGACCAAAGGAAGCCTCACTGTGCCCTAGCCGAGCACCCCACCCTTCGACTTCAGAATTGGGGGATTGGTGTTCGGATTCTGAAATTTCAAGTACAAGTTCCTTAGCCGAAGAGCAGAGCCCCCAACTTTGAAGCTCAGCATACCATGATCGAGCATCACAATAGCTCAGCACCTGCGAGGCCCCCAACTTTGAAGCTCAGCATACCATGATCGAGCATCACAATAGCTCGGCACCTGTAAGGCCCCCAACTTTGAAGCTCGGCATATCATGGTCGTGCATCACAATTTCCTTAGCTTCGTAGATCGACACCTCTAAGGTTCCCGACTTCGTAGTTCGGCGCACTGTCGCTGAGCATCACAACGACCTCATCTCCGAAGCTCGGCCTCTTACCGGCAGTAGAAAGCCCTTCCTCGGCACCCGGTCGAGCTAAGTCCCGACTTCGGAGCTCGGCACATCATGGTCGAGCATCACAACGGCCTCAACTCTGAAGCTCGGACTCCAACTCTAGAGCTAGACACACCATGGCCGAGCATCACAGTGACCTCAACACCGGAGCTCGACTTCCACTAGGAATCAGAGAACCGTTCCTCGGCCCCACTAGGAAGATGGACCTCCAAGCTTAGTTCGACACYTCAACGTTGTGCCGAGCTACGTGACCGTGTAACACTTCGAACCGAGCATTCCCCCTCGGCTCCAAAACTAGGGGAGTGGTGTTCGGATTCCGAAGTCAAAATTCTTGTAGTTCTGCAACTGACGATGGAAAGATTCCTTGGCCATAATCCATATTGCCCGGATCCCAGGATTACGACAGGCACCGAGGAACATCAAAGGGACCAGACGCTCAACTAGACATTAACTTGGAAGTTCCTCAGCCAAGGAACGAATTGGGACTACTTCATTCCTTGACTTTAGAACTGGGAGAGTGGTGTTCGAGTCATGGCTGAGCTAGTCCTAAGAGACATGTGGCCGCCCAGTCATCGCCCGACCATGTCGGCCTAGCTCGGCCATGTCGACATAGCTCAGCCGAGCTACGCTATTATTATGGCCCCCCATCTTATCCTTTCAGCCACATCTGCTACACGACACACGGATGAGTACAACTACGGATAAAGAAGATTAAGGAAGACAACTCCGCTGGGGAATGAGACTCTATCCCGAATACCTCGGTGGCTAACCTCATCCCGACAACCCTGGAATCCCAATCCGACCAGGACACGGATCTTCGATTATAAAAAGGTACTCCATCCTCAAGGTAAGGGATCCAACTTCTGACACTCGTACTACTACTTAGCTTGGACCAGCATTCTTATAGCTCGGCCCGACCACCTACCACCTCTTATTGACTTGAGCGTTAGAGTACTTACCCGGGGATAACTCCTTGGGCCTCTGACATCTCCTCTCTTGATCGCAGGTCTTCAAGCATGGCCTCAGCCTTGTAACTCGGCCCTACACTGCCAGTAAGGACTATCTGATTGCTCTCCTCAGTTCGTGCACCACCTCGAATTGAGTAGCATCATATATATATATATATATATATATATATAAACAATTCCTATATATTTATATATTATTTATAGTTATTTTTTATATTAAACTTAATTCTATTAATATATTTGTAGAATTTATATGCATTTTCTTAGCGTRCACAAACATTTCCATCTTTTTTTCATTTTTATCCATGCGTTTCTCAAGCGATACTTTAGTCCTTGCTATGCACCACATTGTAGTAGTGTAGATTGTTCACACCTAATTTGCAACGATAAACCAGCGCACAACCATTCCCATAAAATGTCTAAGTCAGAGAGGCTTCTAGAAAGTAGCACAATAGTTGCACGCATTCTCATATACGAATAATCCCGAGAAGAAGGGTGAGAACCGAGACCCTGGGATCTCTATAGTGACAATGACGACCCTACTTGTGCTAACCTATTTCAGATATAATTGAATAACAAACTTTTCTGCTTGGAGAAAATTTCCTCACTTGTTACGTGGCTTTCCTTTATAAATAGAGGAGTTCTAAAGCCCTCCTCAACTCAGCATTCCATTTCCTTTACGTAAGCTCTACCAGTTCGCGCTCTTAGCGTCCATTAAAGCTCCCCTTGCAGGTTGCAATCTTCCTTCTTCCTTCCTCACCTCCACTAAGCCATCTACTGTCTTTTAGGTGGTCTCCTACATTGCCTTACCTACCCATCCTACAATGTGCACAAATTTTATAAACAAATTTATATATATTCATTTTAATAAGAAGGTTGAATCCAAAAACAAACCGCCCACCCTAATGGTTCAATCAGTGTTTTGAGATTCAGACCGGATAAAGAACCTTTTTAGTATAAGTCAAACGGTTCAACTATTCAATTCACCAATCAACTATTTCAAATAAAGAGAATGTAAAAAAATGAAAATAATTCTTGACTATCTTTTAAAGCTATTTTTAACAAAATAAATTTAAACTAATTAATATTACAGGGTATGAGTGTATGACACATGTTAACATATGTAAATTGCATTAGGTTAACCAAATCAACATTTCTAAGAACCAAGCAACCAAACAAACCATTTTGTCTGCCAGTCAGTCGGCCCGGTCCTGGTTCTGACAGTGTGACCATCTGGTCTAGTCTGATTCTACAACGCTGGGTTTGATATCCGGTCTGGGATTCCTTAAACCAATTAGGGTTATGCTGAGCTGAGATAAAATAAGAGAAAGGGAAAGCAAAATTAAAGAATAAAGTTGGGCTCAGAATCAATCTTTTTAGAACACAAGGTGTACTCAGAATCAATCCTTTTAGAACACAAGGTGTTRCTTCCCTTGTATCTGGCTCAGAATCAAGCTTTTTAGAACACAAGGTGTACTCAGAATCAATCTTTATAGAAGACAAGGTGTTACTTCCCTTGTTTCTGAACCTTGCTCACCCACCTAAGACAATCCATAAGCCAAGGACAGTCACGTTTTCAACAAGGGGAGGCAGCCAAATAAAGTGAGCCCTCCCTCCCTCGTGCCCCTGTTTTCAATAATAGTTGCTTCCCTTTGAAAATTCTTTCCTTCACACATTGAAGAACATCAATCCTTGTGGTGGTCCACAAAACATCAGTGGAGAAATTGGAGAATCACCTTTCTTAGGAAAAGTGATGAAAAAAGCAAGTATTATTAAGTAGGACAATGACAATTGATGAATGAAAAGAGAAAGGTGGAGACTGCACAGGGGAGAGGACTCTTTATACAGAGGTAGATGAACCAAGAGCTTCATTACTAATAACAATGAAAACGACTCCTTGGACTTGTAACTTTGCAATCAACAACACTTCCGTTTGGGTGTCACTTTAGTGCTGGTTAAACTCACAAACCCCATTAGGAAACCTATGCCACTTGTCTCTCTGCAACAGACTCCTTGGCTTGGAGAAAATCCATTCACAGTTTCAATAGAGGAGGATTCTTCACTAACAGAGAACCAGGTACACCAAGTTCTGATGGAGGCAACATAATTAGATCAATATGAAATTAGGGTTATCAGTTGGGATTATCCAGTTAAACATAAAAAGTGGCCAGGTTAACCGGTTCAATTTTCAGGAAGCTAGAGAAGGAAGACAAATCTCTCATTGTCCATAACCCATAAGACTAACCAATTGAAATCCAAATTCTATCATTCCTTGCAGTTGAGCTTGAGCCCACACTGCTTCTGTCAGTGATACAAGACAGAAGGGGGAGATGATTGATGTATTGTCATCTATGATTCCTAACAAAATACAAACTAGAGGAAAGGGCAATTTAAAGAAAAAAAAAAAGTCAAAAACAAAACAAAAGGAGGAAATTGAGAGTGCAAAGTTGATTTCCAATAGCTAAAAGAAACTCTTAGTCATCTATCTGTAGTAATGGAAAACATACACACATCTGAAGCAGTAAAACCCTTACACAAATAAGCAAAAATAACTCAAGGCTTTTAACCATTTGTGTATTCTAAAGAATCTAAAACTATAGCCAATATACACAGAATGAGGGGAAAGCAGAATCAACAGACGAATGCACTAAATGATCATGCTGCAAGAGGCTGCCGCCTGCCATCTGCACCATTCGTTCCATCATAGGGCTTTGTGGACTTGTCAGACTTCTTCTTCAAGACTACAATCCATGTAATAGCTTCCAACAGTAGAGCAATTGCACCCAACACAATGAGAACAACTACGTAAGCTGTTTTCCACTTGTGAGCAGGGTCCAAAATGTCAAGACCTTTAAACACATTGGTGATGCCAAGTACAAGGATGGTGTAGCCAATTCCATGGTGGTAGATGTTCCAGTAGAAGCGGTACTTATGGTCCTTGTTGGGTCTCAGGAACAATGCAAACATCTACAAAATCCCAAATGATAGTGGAGCTATCAGACATGCTAAAATGAGACCCTGAACACAAAGAAAAAACATGTACTTTCCTCATTTTTCTCCAAATCTCCATATTTGGAGAAAGAGTTGCAGTGACACATGGGAAGCTTAAAAACATTATCCAAGGTCAGAAAATTTGTTGTTTTAAATACATTCTTTGGTATGAAGCGTGGAGTCCACGTAACAGAGTAATAACCAAAAACCAAGTACCCTGAATAGTATACAACAGATTGGTATAATATCTAAAGAAATTTCAGAATCCAAGCCTGCTCAGTTCAACTAAATTCCTGACAAGATATAGGCTTAACCATTAAATTTACTCAACTAAATTGTTGGCTCCATGTTTTATGATTTCAACAGAAGAAAAATAGGAAATCCACTTAATAACAAGTACTAGGAAAAGAAAGGGATGAGATAACATGGATAAGTTCATCCATCTCTGTCTTCTAAATATGTATGAAGAAAAGAAATGAGTTTAATTAGGCAGGAGCAGTAAATTACAAGACACCAAATATGGCAACTTAACAACGAAATCAACAGAAAGAAGAATTTCACAAGATCAGAAACAATTGAAAATGGGGATCAATACCTGCAAGGTTGCGAAAGAGAAGAGAGCAATCCCAAGATTCCGATGAGCAGTGTATTGTATCCTTTTTGGTTGGTTCCCCAGCTTAATACCAGTAGCCCATCCAGCAACTCCAAGACCATAAGCAATGATCTGACAGGATACATGAAGGTAAAACCAGGCTGGATCAGCAGACTGAAATGTCCTGATGTACCTTGCAATGATGATACCAACAGGAAAGAGAATTCCCCAACTCACAGCATTCAGTATACCATGAACCTGAGAAGAAAGAAAACCAAATATTTCATCATGATCTAAAAACATCCAATATGTAATTTAAGAAAACAAGATTTTTTTCCCCTTCTTCCTAAAATTTGGCAGAGAACCAGACATAACATATACTTCACCATTTTTCAGAACACCAGGGAAAAATAAAATTGAAATTTCAAGAAGAATTAAGATTATTTGAAAAATTATAAGCAATTTAAAGCTACAAAAATACTTCTTTTTTCTTCCTTTTGGGTTTTAAATTCCAAAATGAGAAGACTATAGTAAACACTATATCATCTTTACAACTGAAAATTACAAAATAAAACAAGAAAAGTAAAAGGGAAGGGAATTAGAAAATCAAACTTTTCATAGGTCTAGTTGAAATTGATAATCGCTCGAGTACCCCCTTTTAATACCAAAATCCTTTTCTAACTTCAACTCATTACTGCAAAAAAATTAGTTAAATGAAGAGAACACATAGAATTTGAACTATCTCTAACCTTTTCGGCTTAACCGCAACCCCAATTGGCCTTTCAACTCTAAACAGAAAATTAAAATCACAATCCAAGTCCAAGTTCTTTGCATCAGGGAATTAAAAATTTCCCACTTCCGTATTAAATTCTCTTTCCACATTCAACCAATTTACACCAAGAAGATAAAAATAAAATTAACAGAACTGATGAAAATTTGAATTCTAGCGCTGCAAGTCTCTTCTCAGGCTAAATTACAAAATTAAATAAATACCCATGAAAAAATAAATTAAATAATAAGAATAAAAACAAACTAAGGAATTTCAAAACAGAAATTCAAACTCACATTTCTCTTGGTGAGCTTAGAATCCCCTCCCGAGCTGGTACTGCTGGTCCCTGCCATCAAATCAAGCGTACCCTTGGAGTTCAAATTCTCGGCCTTGAAAGCATGAGCAGCCGGCACCCCACCCGACAAAGAAGCCCCAACTTGCCAAACCTGGTTCAGAGTTGTCATGTTCTTCGGCAACGCAAACGTAGCGAAGATCCTCATCACCCCATCAGAATACTCACCCGTCACGTCCCACAGATCGAACGAGATCTTCGTCTTATCGACCGATTGGTACGATTGCACGTCGTATTGGTCCACCACCACCGACCCATTTGCCTGGTACGCAATCAACGCCTGACTTCCAGCCATCCCAGTACTCTTTGGGTTTATCGCCCACGAAACCCATCCTTCCGGTTGCGCCGGAGGAGCGACGAACGCAATTTTCAGAGACGAATTAGAGGAGTCGTAGGTCCAGTGGAGGTAGGAGCTTAGGTGAGGCAGGTCGTTGCAGTTCTGGAAGAGCCTGTTACTCGTGAAAGTCTGAGACGAGCAGGTGAGAGAATGTGAAGAGTGGATTTGCAGAAGAAGAACCAACAAACCCAGAATCACAGGGGACAGATACGAGGAAGACGCCATTGATGGAAAGATGGGAGGAATGGAGAACGGAGAGTGATATTTATGCAAAAATGCGTAGTAGAGGGTATGCTCCGTTTTATGACTGCTCCACAACCACAGGTGGAACAGAGTATATTTATGTGGGGGAAGCGGCTTTTCAGTTGAGCAAACAGCTGAATTTTAGTGGAAGTTTTGGTGAATTTTAGTGGGAGAAGGTTTCTCTGCAGCTAAATTTGGCGGCATTCTGTAAAAATTAGGAATTGGTAAGACAGGAGACTTCATCTTTTATTTTTTTCATTTTTTTAGGGTAAAATACAAAAACCTCCCTGAGTTTTCTTACAATTTTATAAATCTCCCCTCTGTTTTGATATAAAGAGAATTCTCCCTTATAGTTTTGAAAAATGGTGCATATACCTCCCTCTTATTAGTTTTTATGGCCAAAAACCCTAACGTAATACATTAATTTTCTTAAAATACCACATTTACCCTTAAAATGGTAACCAAAGCAAACCAATCTCTTACCCCTATTTTTTCCATTTCTCTGTCTCAATTGAGCTAACCAATCGTAACTCATTTTTTTATCCTTTTGTTCTATTTTATTTATTTTGAGCCAAAAACCATGGTTTTTAAAAATGAACCGGTGATCGAATTGGTCAGGGGTTCGGTTATCAGTTCGAACGGTCGGCCTGTTCTGACAAAAAAAATATAAATAAATAAAAAAATTGGAAAATGGTCAAAACCGTTCGAACAGTTAATTGGCCGGTTTAGTGGTTTGCTGACCAAAATCAACGGTTTTGGGGGAAAAAGCGGTTTTGGAGGAAAATGGAACCAATCTGGTTCCCTTTTTTTGGTCCGACCGTCCAGTCTGGTCCGGTTTTGAAAACAGTGCCAAAAACCATTGATTTGATCAGCAATCCATTGACCGAGGTGGTTGAACCATCGACCCAAACAACAGTTATTGATCATTACTTATTATTATTATTTTTTTTAATCAGAACAGGCTATCTGTTCAAATCAGATGGTCAGAGACTTTATGTAGTTCAAACGGTTTCATATMGGGTCCTATTTTTAAAACCTTGAGTTTAGGAAGTGGAGATCATGGTTTTTAAAAATGACCTGCAGACCGAACCGGTCAGGGGTCCGATTACCGGGTCGAACGGTCCGACAGTTCGAACTGAACGATCGACCCATTTTGACAAAAAATAAAAAATAAATAAAAAACGATCAAAACCGTTCGAATGGTTCAAATAATTAACTGCCCGGATCAGTGTTTACTGACCAAAATTAACGGTTTTGGAGAAAATTGGAACCAATCACCTGACCAATTCCCGATTTTTCTGGTTCAACCGTCCAATCCGATCCTGTTTTGAAAACCATGGTGGAGATTCTCACCAGCAACAGGGATTTTTGCGCTAATATATGAGCGGCTAGGGAAATATAATTACATTTAACGCTCAAAAAAAATTCAGAAATTGATAAAATTTGGTTCATAAGGCCATTAAATTTTTTTTAATATGGCTCCTTCCGACCTTCCCTTGTATTGCCACTTTAGCATCAGAAAATACAAAAAGTTCCTCCAACCTTTAACCAAGAGCAAAAGCCAAAGCTTTATATATTGCCATCAATTCTGCACAAAAAGGCTCATCGCAATTCCCAACAAACTACTTACAGCCATAAAAAATTCTTTGTTGTTATTATAGGTATAGAAACCATGGTACCAACATCGAGTCCAGATCTCCTGCCTATAACAAAATTCTTCACGTCTATTCACATAGCATCACAGCTTGGAGAATATCTTATCCTCCTTCCCAGTAAAGGGAGATAGACAGATAGTGTGTTGTGGGTAAATGCGGGCAGGAGATCGGAAGTCACCAACATCACATTGAATTATAATTCCATCACACATCACAGCCCATATTCATATTGATATTGCTTAAAGATTGATTAGAAGTAAGCCCGCATTCATAATTCCATTCCCCAGAGATCAACAAGGCCCATGGGCTAGCAGATAAAACTGCCCTGGTGAAAGAGGCATGAACAAAATAAATGACTAAATGATTCATTTTCTTGGTTATATAAAACAAATTCATTATCCACATTAATGCCTTTTAACAATCAACTCCTTTTTACTATTTTGATTATTTTTAACATATCTTGGTCTAAAGAAACATGATTTGTACACCATTCATTTTCTAGAAATTGTTTTACTGTAATATTCCTCATAACCATTATACCCAAAATTGATTCCCCCTCTCCTCTACCAAACACTTCTGTAATCATTTGCTTGTTCCAAACTCTTAAATCTTCTTGAATCAGGTCTTTTAACCATCAATTTATTACTCCTTTTTTTAAGTCCAATTCGAGTATATCTTTCATTCTCACAAATCCAAGGAATATTCCAAGAATCAAGGTTTGAATATTTTTCACTTGAACACCAACCTTGCTAAAAATATCTAAAAGAGGCTTGGCAATTCCTTTATGATGATGCACGATTTGGCAGCTTCCTACTCGTTGATGACTTGGATATCGAGTTGGAAAATTCCTTGTTGGACGGTGACTCAGATGCTAAGTTGAGTAAGGTCGGGTTAGGAGGTAGCTTGGATGTCGAGCTAAGTTAATGGCAAACTGTGTAGTTTTTTGGGAGACCTGCAGGGAAACAGTATTACATTGCCCAAGTTACTTTACCCGGGGTGGGCACTCCGATGCTTAAGTTAGCGAGTTGAAAGTTTTAGAGAATTAGAATGCTAGAAGATCAAAGTATGTGAGAGCTGAATCGCGCATAACGGGTCCAAGATTCCTTGAAAGCCGCTCCCACTAAGTTCGGAGAGAATATCTCTATTAGTTACATGATCAACGCAGAGGGCTAAGGTCCATTCGATCAACTCTAATGCAGACKATGCGAGTAGGTGGGCTTAATAGTCGAGCACTGTTATCCTGGAGAATTCGGTCTCGATAATGGGTTTAAGGAATAAGTCGGTGAGTATGTCTTGTAGGTTGTTACCTGTACCCAAGTTAGCTCAGCCGGTCCTCGAAGGAGGTCGCTCATTACACTGAGGACCCTTAGGTCGACCATGCCGAGGTACTATAGCTCGGCCTAGGACGAGGTGCTGTTAGCCATTTTACCGAGGTGATTTGCTTACTTGGTGTTGAGATGTCGTCTAGTTGTTCAGTGATGCCACGTGTCATGATGTCATTCGGAGGACTAAATTACCCCTCATCAGTTGCCCCCCATTCTTGAGTCAACGTTAGCTCAGCGAAGGGAGTAGCTCATAGTCGCCTTTTTCAGTCTGGTAATTTGTTTGGCTGGTCTGTAAATCTTTCGGCTCGCTCGCCCAACTCGGCTCAAAGATGGGCAAGGCTGTGGTGAGGTTTAAAATTTAAAATCTAGGTGGGCATACAAAATTTAAAATTCAAATTAGCCTGCACGCATTGTAGTTTGTCGACCGTTGATTCGCTAATAGGGTGTCTTAGTCGTCGATTTTCCTTGCTAGCAAACTATAAATAGGGGGTCCCCATTGAGGTCCCACTTGCACTATTATGAGATTTTCGTCGAGGGAAAGGGTGATCAATTGGAGGAGAGTTCCGCCGAGGAATTACTGTTAGGTCACTGGTTGAAGCTTGCCTACCTCCGGTTTCTGTTTCCCGAAAAGCTAGTGAGTTCTTCTTTCATTCTATAATCATGTCTTCAGGCGGTTCTAAAGGAAGGTCATTAAACTTTCCTTGGGTCAAGGAAAGGTCCTCAACACAAGATTGGCGAGACTCTCATGTCGGGACCTCGAAGTCTCAGTTAGAGCTAGATGTTACCCCATTTGGCCCTAGTGAGCTGAGCGGGGAACTCACAGTAAATTTAATTTCTACGTTCCAAATTCCTACTGAGTTCAATAGCATCCAACCCGGCCTGAATCAATTCCCGTGGAACCACGGCAAAGGCGAGGTTTGCGTCTTCGAGGAGGCATTGATCGCCATCCTCCGTTTTCCTCTACACCCTTTCATTCCCGTGGTGCTTTCTTTTTTTGGTGTCTCATTGGGGTTGCTTCATCCCAACGCTATCCGAACCCTTGTGGAAACGATTTCTCTGAGTTATCACTTAGATTTTCCTCTAGACATAGATATCTTTTTCAGGCTATGTAGCATAAAGAAGGACCCCAATGTGCCTTGTTGCTTTTATTTGCCTTTTCGTCATGGTTATAAGCTACTGGATGGATTTCCTTCTAAAGTTAAGAATTGAAAAAGTAGATATTTCTTTCTTTCTTGGGAGGCTTGCTGCTCTATGGATACCGTGTGGTGACGTGACACGAGGAAGGTCGTTGAAGTAGAGTTCGACAAAGAGCTGAGTCGTGAAGTTCAACGCCTCGTGCATCAGTGGTTTCTAGTATAACAGTTTCTAGCTGAACCCATGCTCGTCCAGACCGGCCTGAGCCCCGTAGGTAGGTCGGGCGAATCGCCCTTTGTATTTATTTTTGAAATTGATTTTTATCTCGACTAATCTTTCTTTGTCTTTTTCAGAGATGGTGAGTACTGCTTCTCTTTTGGCGGCGGTGAAGAAGTCTTCAAGGAAGAAGAGGAGGGTGGTCGACCATGCGTCAATGGACGGTACGTCGACTAGTGCCGAGGTGAGATTTGCAGCGCACGTGCCTAAAGTTGTTGACCTCTAAAGAGGTGGCGATCTGATGTCCGTAGAGCCTAAACAAGCCACCACAGACACGGTCACTTCCCCACTTCAAGTTGGCCAAGAGGAGCACACTACCGACCCTTACACATTTGGCATACCTCACTCCATCCCCAATGTTGACGTCTCCATCCTCAACTGCCTTACCAACCCCCTAGTAGCTCTACGCATGGGGAGAGGTATTCTTCTTCCAGAGGACATGAAATTCTACAGTGGGATGGATCTTTYCGAGGTCAGCACCAGGATGACTCAATGGATCCTTTAGGTTTGATGTTTATACTATGGTCTTTTAGTTCTCTTTTCTTCTGAGCTTTGTTCTGATTAGACTTCTCTTTTCTCATAGGCAAATACGATGGGCTAAGTGTTGTCAAACCAGGTTGCCTCATCCCAGAAGGAGAGGTGTAACATACAGGCGAATATAGAGGCTTTGCAGGCCCAACTGGAGGGAGCTGGTCTCAATGTCAAAGTTGCTCACCGTAGTGCCGAGGAAGACCGCCAATGCTTTATCAACCTTAGTGCTGGCATGTAGTGCGGGCTAGAGGAGGCTAAGGGAACCATGACCATCTTG